GAATCCCACCCCTGCACATTTCTCCCAGTTAACCAACCCTCAACTGGCAAGGCTAAGCCACATGATTCCCAAGTCTGGGCAAAAAGTTCCTTTTGGGCTCCCACAGTTCCCTGGGCTTCCTCCATACCAGCCTGAGTCTCACTGAGGGGGGGCAGCTGATGCTTCCTCGTTTGCATATAGCCTTTGAGTTCCTGAGGTCGGGGTCCACCAAAAGACACAATTACAATATATTTAAAGATTGAATTGGCTTTTATTTGCCGTTTTAAAATCAAGCTGAGCTTGAGGTTGGCTTTATAGGCAGAAAAGGGTTGAAGAAAGAATAAATAGATCCAAAAGTGGATTGGTTGTTTCAAAGTTAATTTTCTTTGAATGCTTAAAGCAGAGGGGATGACATTATTGTGTGTACTAAAACTGGCTCATTGGAAGATTTGGCTATTACCTCTCTCTCCTGATTTCTTGAAAGATCAGATAAATCTCTTAGTCTCAGCTTGGTGGCGTGAGTAACTCTGTTATTTGATTTGTTGGGCTTAGCGCAGAAGCTCAGTTCCAATCCATGGCCTCCCTTGAATTTTAGTTGGCAGACAGTATCTTATTTATTGTAGCCCTCTGTGTTAGCTCTTCAGCACTGTGACTAAAGTACCTGATCAGAAAAACTTAGAGAAGGAAATGTTTGCCAGACCTAGGAGTCCAGGTGTCTGATTTCTCCTTCCAGGACTGTGACCGGAAGTTTGCTGAGTCTCTGAAACTCGGTTTCCTCATTGGATAAGCAGGGATACCAGTCTCTGCACTGTGAAAAGTGACTGAGGTCATAGCTCCCATGACAACATACTGTGAAACCTAAATTGCTAAGCGAATGTTGGAAAATCATGTTTGTTTKTTTTTTAATATTGATTTTTTAGGTGTAGATGGTCATAACACAATGCCTTTTATTTTTATGTGATGCTAAGAATCGAACCTGGGTAGAACCTGTAAGCAGGAGTCGGGTAAAAGACACACTTATGGGTGCCATGTCCAGAGCAGGAGCCTGGGCTCTCTACAGCTGTCTCTCGCCCAGCTGTAGAGTTCAGGGACTGACCTCAGTATCCCCTCTAGGGATTGCTCCCACCGACTGCTGCAGCTTGAACACCATGATTGAAACTAGGTATCCTCTTGTCATCATGGCCCTTGACGGTGCATTGTGAACAAGTGGCTTTCTTTGTGGGGAGTCTGAACCTTCCSTAAGTCACGAGGGTTTCAGATATTTGGACTGTGCCCAGGAATGGTCCTTTCAATTCCGAAAGGGCTGTCCTATGGCAGGACTGGGGCCACCTGTGGTGGGAAGGGACTGAGGACCCCTGGCAGGGACTGTCAGAAGTTGAAACATTGCTTTCTCTTCTCGCACACACCAGCAGGAAGTCTATACCAATTTATAAATACCCAATTTATCTTGATCTTTATTGGAAATTAAAAGTGCCAGCCAGATATGGCAGCCATTGGGGTGGCTGGTGCCTACCTTGAATTCTGTTGTCCCTGATCCTAGATCTTGTCCTGCTTCTCTAAGACCCACTCCTCATATGCCTGAAGGAGGTCTTATCCCTTTGGCCCCTTTGGCTTGGGCTGGCCTCTGTTGCTCACTTGTGGAGGCCTGGCCTGGACAGAGCCATAGTAAAAGACAGGACAARAGCAGAAAAGGCCCCTGGGTCTGGGAGCAGGAAGATTGCAGGCACTAGGAACAGACAGCGGCACCTCAGGGCCAGGGTGAGGGTTCAGGCTTGGAGGCGGCCATGTTGGCATGGGCGCTGGGGTGGTTGAGGGTCTTCAGCCCATCTTCCTCCAGCTCACCACTTGCGACAACACCTAGAGGCTGTTAGCTTGACAGGACAGTGGGCCTCTGAACCCTGCAAAGAGCACTGTGGGCGCAGGGAATGAGGGAGGATGCCTCCTAGATRTATCTAGGAGAGGCTCCCCATTCCCTGACCTCTCCCCTCTTCACAAGCTACCCTCCCGCTAGTTTACCTTATACTTCTGGGTTACTGCCTGGGCTCGTCTCTCACCAGAAAGGTCTGCTCATCCCATGTCTTTGCCTGCCCACTTCATGGCTTGGGTAGGAAGTCCTCCCAGGTGCCTGCRTCTGAGCAAGATGCCTTTTCTTGATTCTCCTCCTTGTCTCTCCTCTCTCCCCCATCAGAGAGCTTATCACACACTACTTGCTGTTGGCCTTTCTGTCTTTTTTGGTAGACCAGAAGTTCTTTCAAGTTCATCAGTGTAATCCATGGCCTCATATGATACCTGGCRTCAGTGCTCAATAAATATCTGCAACATGGATGGATGGATGGAGAGGGAGAGAGAGAGAGAGAAAGCAATCAGTGCACGTGTGAGCACAAAGGACAAGATGCAGCCCAGATCCACGCCCACAGTGACCTCTCTCCTTCAGCCACATCTCACCGGCCTGCATTTACCACCCAGTYTGAATTATTATCTAGGAAATGGATTCACCCACTAATGAGGATACAGTTTCCATAATCTAATTATCTTACCTCTGAACATTCCTGCAGTGCTTAATATGGGAACTGTTTAGGGGACATTAAAGATCCAAACCATAACAACAGATTTGTGTTTGTGAGTATGTATACAGGAGCATGTGAGTGTATGTAGATGTGCAAGTGCAGCTGTGAGTCTGTGTGTGACTGTTCAGATGAGTATGTGAGTGCTGCAAGTTAGATAGACACACGGTGTGGCGTAGGTGGAATGGTTTGTGTGAGGTGAGAACTTACGTAGGATATTGGTGGGAGGTGACTGGGCACATGGATGCTTGTATTTGTGTATTTGTGTATTTGTGTGTGTGTGTGTGTGTGTGTGTGTGAGTGAGAGAGAGAGAGAGAGAGAGAGAGAGAGAGAGAGAGAGAGAAGCTTTCTCTTGCCCACCTCAGGGTCACATTCTGGGAAACTGTATTTTTGGCTTCTGAAGCTTATTTTTTTCAAAAAATGACTCTGCCTTCTCACTTCCTCCCAGCCCGGAAACTGGAGCCGGAGGTCATGAGGCCAAACGGTTACCAGCCTGGGCTATGCCACCAAGAAACTGTCTACCAGGTGGAAGGAGGCAGAAGGAGAGCAGGCGCTGAGAGAGCTCCTCTTCAGGATCTGGAGACTGACTCTGGAGAGGACCATGGGCCAGGTTGTGTGCTGTGGGTAGAAGGAGGAAGTACTGCATGAATGTGAGGCCTGCAGCCAGTGGCCTGTCCTGCCAGGGAGGAGTTCTGTCCTGCCAGCTGCTGAGCTGTGGGCTAATGGGATACACAGCGGTTTGCTCTGGCCCTCCTTGGGCCCACCACACAGATGTGTGCAGGAACAGTGGATAACAAATAACGGGCAATGGGCAAACAATGGAGGTGAGTGGTATGGCTGGCCAAGCAGGCCCATATTTCTCGGAGCCAGTACAAGTTTTTGAGGGCAGTTGCTTATGGCCACATTCCTGGCACCTTGCACGACTCTAACCACGATGTGTTGTGTAAATGAATAAAAGAATGGAGGAAATGATGAACAAGTCTATTTCTACAGCCTCAAATTCCCTCCCTCCCCATAGGTCAATCTGCCTTCTTGAAACCCAGGAGCTCCTTCCCACAATTCTCCCCATGGGTCCATTCTCACTCAAGGCATCTCTTAGTCCTCAGTGGCCTGTGTACCTTGCAGGACCAGGCAGGACCAGGCTTGGCTCAATGGGGCCCTTCTTGAGTTTTTTGGGTTTTTTTGTTTTTTTTGAGTTCCTGGGGCATCCCTGCCTGCTGGGGGTGGTCTCTACAGAACTTCTCCAGGTTCTGAATCCCACCCCACCCTAACTCCTCTGCATCCCAGCCCTTAGGAATTGCCAATAACTCCCCTGCCTGGGCAAGTGATCTTAGAGCTCAGAGAGGCAGAGTAAAATAACCAGGGACTTCCAGCTGGTAATCCGGCTCAGATCAGGCATCCTGGGCTGCACCAAACCTGTCCCAAATTAGGTTTCCAAGTCATAACCACCTGAAGTCAGCACATCACATCCCGTTGGGAGGCAAGAAGTCTCCAGGCACCTGAACTAAGTGTGGGGAGGATGTCTTAGGAGGGAAGAAGAAGAACAGGCAGAGGGAACACCGAGCAAAGGTAGTGGGGCAGAGTGAGAGGTGAGAGGGTGAGAGAGAAGGCTAGAGAGGAAGATTCAGGCCTGGGGGTGCAGGCTGGGTAGTTTGAATTATAATCTGATGGTAGTAGGGAGCCATGGAAGATGTTTGAGCAGTGTGGGGTCACTGATGCTGGGAGCCTCTGTGCTGGTTACGTACTGCCAAATGGATGGGAGAAGGTGAGGGGTCCAGTCCAGAGGTGGCTCTTCACCAGCTTGAAGCAGAACAAAAACCACGGATAGGGAAAGACACAGAGAGGATACATGCAGCGTTCAAAGGTACTGAGGAAAGCTGCGTCAGTGATGTGAGCTTGGAGGAGGCTGGTGGGATGTACAAGCCACATGCAGCGTGGTGGCACCGTGCACAGYGTGGTGGTGCCGCCCTGCAGCTCTGCACATAGTTGGTGCTCAGTGAAAGTAGGTTATACGAATGAATGGACCCATAGCCTCGCTGTCTCTATGTCRTTCCAGTTGCCCTCTCTCCTGTGTCTCTCAGCGCCGTCTCTGGGCATCCCGCTCTGTGGCCCTGAAGGACCCCAACTGGTCTGGTAGGGGCAGTGCTGGCCCACGATCCCACTCCGAACCCCTTTCCTTTTTGCCAGTGCACCCACATGGCTTCTCTCTCTCTCCGTCCCCCTCCCCCTCCCCCTCCCTGTCCTTATCTTTCCCTTCCGTCTCCATGGCGACTCACCACCTCGGCTTGCCTGCATCCCAGCCTCTGCCAGGGATTCTGAGCTGGGCTCTGTCCCTCCCTCCTCCAGAGCCCTGGTACCCGCAGCCCTGTCTCCTCCCCCTGGGGTGAGTCCAGCAGCAGCCTCCTCTTTCCGGACTGTCACATTTATTCTCCAGCTCTGACAGGGAGTCAGCTCCTCTGGGGAAACCATCCCTTGCCCCACCCTCCACCTGCCACCGCCCAGCAAGCCCTCCGGGAGAAAAGCCATCCTTGCCTCCGGTGAAGGTCTTGGTGGACCTCTCTCTGCGTTGGACCCCCTCTCTGTTCCAGCCTCCCATGCCGAGGCCCACCTTGTCAGTCACTTCCTTTTGTCATCGGCTTGGCAAACGGGCAAGTCTTCAGTCCTAAAATCTGGGGGGATGGGTGGGGGTGGGAAGCAGCCACCTGGGATGGGGGATGGGCCTGGGAGRGAGGGGGAGGGACATCCTGGAAACCCAGCATGAAGGCAGGAGTCTGGATTCTGTCCTAATTTTTGCCCCCCCCCCTCCAAGGAGAGAAAACGGAGCTTCATGGGAAACAGCAGCAACAGTTGGTGAGTGCTGGGGCCTGCTGGGCAGGGGTTGGTGCAGTGGGCCTGGCAGGTCAGCTGGAAAGGGCTGGTCCAAGAGCATGGAGCCCTGCAGCTACCGGCTGAGGCTCCCACAGGGCTATCCCTAGAGAAGGAGTGCCAGGCTGGATCTACCAGGTTGTGGAGGGAGGGCAGGGAAAAGCAGATGGGTGCTGGGGGGGCAGATGCTCAGCTCAGAGAGGGGAAGAAATCTTGGGGGAACCAGATCCATCTGCTTAGCTGCAGAATGGGCTGCTTGGGCACCAGGGCCTTACCACTCTCTCTTGACTATCCCAGTAGCAGGGGCTTGTAGAGTTTCTTACTTCTTGGGGGGGCTTGCTGACCTTCTTGAGGGGGTCCCTGTTGCAAAAGGTCAGCAGAGAGGGTTTTCCTGAGCTTTGGCACCAGGCACGGAGCAGCCTGCTCACCTATCATCCTGGAGATTATCTCCACACCCCATGAGCTTGGGGATCCTAACCTCTCCATTGGGACAATTAGGAAATTGGGACCCAGAGACAGGAAGGACCCTGCCCACAGTTGCATGGCTGGGAGCTGGCAGAGCCAGGGTTCCATTCAGGCTTTTTTACTCTTGGGTGTTGTTTTACGACTGTTCTGCTGTTCTCACTTTGGGGCTGCCAGAACCTAGGGTACAAGTGAGTAAGGAACAGGTAGATCTTGGCCTGTCTGGGAGCAGCTCCCTAAGTCCATGGAGAACCCTGAGAGAAATGGAGGTGACACAGAGAAACCTTCACCCCAAGCCGTCAGCCTGCCCCCCMAAACCTGTGCATCTAATAAAATATCCTGCTTTTGAATGTCATGTCCTGCCCCCAGGTCCCATGCACCATTTCCCAAGTTGGAGCTGGGCCTGGGGCCCCGACCCACGGCACCCCGGGAGCTGCCCGCCTGCTCCATCTGCCTGGAGAGACTTCGTGAGCCCATCTCATTGGACTGTGGCCACGACTTTTGCATTCGGTGCTTCAGCACACACCGGGTCCCAGGCTGTGAGCCGCCCTGCTGCCCCGAGTGCAGGAAGATCTGCAAGCAGAAGAAGGGACTCCGCAGCCTGGGGGAGAAGATGAAGCTCCTGCCACAGCGACCTCTACCCCCTGTGCTGCAGGTGTGGGGACTAGGCCTCATGGGTGGGCGGGGAGTATGGAGACCTCTGGATCAGATCCAAGAGGCCTGSGTGGCTTTGACCCTAGTTTAGAATATCAGGATGAAGCACCAAGTTTTCAGCACTCCAGACCTGGGGTCCCATCAAGGCTGCTCAGGGAGCCTTCTCTCCCTTCCCAGGAGACCTGTGCCGTGAGGGCGGAGCCTCTTCTCCTTGTGCGCATCAATGCTTCTGGAGGCCTCATCCTGAGGATGGGGGCCATCAACCGCTGCCTGAAGCACCCCCTGGCCAGGGACACCCCTGTGTGCCTCCTGGCTGTCCTGGGGGAGCAGCACTCAGGGAAGTCCTCTCTCCTTGATCACTTGCTCCGAGGCTTGCCGGGCTTGGTGAGGGCAGGGCTGGCAGGCAGGAGGTGGAGGGCGGCGAGGTGGGGGGTCCCAGGTTGGCTCTGGGGAAGGAGCTGAGTCTGGAGCCTAGTCTCTGGGGACATAGAATAGACCAGCTGATGCCCCCCTTCTCTCTCTGCAGGAGTCCAGTGAGGGCAGCTGGCCCAGAGGAGGAGAGGGTTTCTTGCAGGGGTTCAGGTGGGGTGCCAATGGCCTTACCAGGGGCATCTGGATGTGGAGCCACCCCTTCCTGCTGGGGAAAGAAGGGAAGAAGGTAAGAGGAGAAAGGGCAGAAGGGGGTSAGGGAGGAAAGAGGGGGATGGACCAAGAGGAGGGGAATAAAGAAGGAAATCTTTGGGGGKGAGGACAAGAAGACTGGGTCAGGGGGAAGAATGGGAGGGAGCGAGGCCAGGCTGAACCCTTAGCTTGTCCTCCTCCACCCCCTGCCTAGGTGGCTGTGTTCCTCGTGGACACAGGGGATGCCATGAGCTCTGAACTGAGCAGGGAAACAAGGATCAAGCTCTGTGCTCTCACCATGATGCTGAGCTCCTACCAGGTGAGAGAGGTGCTGGGCGATCGGGTCTCCCCACCTACAGCTCGGCCCCCTCCAAGCTGAGGATATCTCTCAGGCTTTGGTGTCTGTGGTCCCTGCACGTTCTGGGGTGGCCCATGGAGAGGGGCAGATGTTCCCAAAGGACTGACAGTTCCTGGGGGCAGCGGGAGGCTGGGGGAATCAAAAAGACCTGCTGGAAGGTGTGAGATACCTGGAGGCAAACTCATTCTCCAGGGCCCCTGGCATCTTATTGTGCCCTTACTTGTAGATCCTGAATACCTCCCAGGAGCTGAGGGACACAGACCTGGATTACCTAGAGGTGAGGAGGCCTCTGATATTGGAGGAGTCACCCACATGGCCCACAGAGCCGGCGGCTGGACCAGAGGAAGTTAATGCCCTTTCATTCTGGTCTAGAATTTTACAACACGTGAACTAGGCCAAAGGGTTCGAGGGTAGGGGTGAAGCGCGAGATGCCTGCTTTGGAGAGAGGCAGGGGGATCTTGGATTGGGGAAGTGGCAAGATTGTTTCCGATAGCAGGGCAGCCCGGGGTCGGGGGTGGAGTGAGAGGATCTGAGACAGATGGGAGCTTTCAGAGAGTCCCAACCCTGGTGTTCTCTGTGCTTATCCCAGATGTTTGTACACGTGGCCGAAGTGATGGGCAAACATTATGGGATGGTGCCAATCCAGGTAAGACACCCTTTTCTGAACTCGTCAGCCCAGCCCCCCACCCCCCCACATGCCCAGCTTGGGAGTCAAGGGTGTATTCTCTTCTAGCATCTGGACCTCTTAGTTCGTGACTCGTCCATCTCCAATAAAGCAGGGCAGGGGCACGTGGGTGATATCCTGCAGGTGAGTGGTGCAGAGGGAGGGGATTGGAAGGGGCCACTACAGGGTGGAAGGCAAAGGGGCTCCAAGGGTTCTGGAAGGGAACTCACCGTGGAATGCTCTCCTCAATCCTTCTCTCAGAGATTGTCCAGCAAATACCCCAAGGTCCAGGAGCTGCTGCTAGGGAAACGAGCCCGTTGTTACCTCCTGCCCAAGCCGGGGAGGCAGTGGGTGAACAAAGGCCAAGGAAGCCCAGGAGGTGGTGAGTGTCCCGAGGGGACAGAGACCTCCCAGGGGCTCCCAAGCTTTCCCAGCTCCCAACCTCTCTCTCCTTGCAAACTCCCCAATCTCCTAAGCATGAGAAATTTTCTTCCTCAGATGCAGATGAGGATTTCTGCCACCTTCTTCAGCCCTACGTTTCTGATGTTCTGAGCACAGCTCCCCAGCACGCAAAGAGCCGCTGCCAGGGATACTGGAGCGAGGGGCGCACAGTGGCCAGGGGGGACAGACGCCTGCTCACGGGGCAGCAGCTAGCTCAGGAGATCAAGGTGTGAAAACCCCCGGGAGACCCCAGCTCTCTCCGCAGGCCCCTGCTCTCCCTGACCCGGCGGTGGTGGTGTCTCTGCAGAACCTCTCAGGCTGGATGGGGAGAACGGGGCCAGGTTTCAGCTCTCCGGAAGAGGTACGGAGCCCCCCGGGTTGGATAGGGGTGTGTGAGGGAGGACTGGCAAGGTGTGTGGGGGGGACTCAGATGCCCTGGGAGTGGAGATGAGGAAACAGGTTGCACCCTGGCTGAGGAGGAAGGAGGGAGGCAGCCTGGGCTTTCCCGTGGACAGATGGCTGCTCAGTTGCACGACCTGAGGAAAGTGGAAGCTGCCAAGAAGGAATTTGAGGAGTATGTGAGGCAGCAGGTAAGCCCCTGGGCCTGCAGGGGAAGCTGGGGACTGGCCAGCAGGGCCCACAGAGGGGAGGGGGCACCTGGGTCTCCTGGTTAGGACACCTTTTCTCCTCCCCATTGACACAGGACATAGCCACCAAGCGCATCTTTTCTGCTCTCCGGGTCCTGCCTGACACCATGCGGAACCTCCTCTCCACCCAGAAGGACGCCATCTTGGCCCGCCATGGCGTGGCCTTACTGTGCAAGGAGAGAGAGCAGACCCTGGAGGCTCTGGAGGCCGAGCTGCAAGCCAAGGCCAAGGCCTTCATGGACTCCTACACGATGCGCTTCTGTGGCCATCTGGCTGCCGTGGGGGGTGCCGTAGGGGCCGGGCTCATGGGCCTAGCAGGGGGCGTGGTGGGTGCAGGCATGGCTGCAGCTGCGTTAGCTGCAGAGGCTGGGATGGTGGCAGCCGGGGCGGCAGTGGGAGCTACGGGGGCTGCCGTGGTTGGGGGTGGTGTGGGCGCTGGGCTGGCTGCCACCGTGGGCTGCATGGAGAAGGAGGAGGATGAAAGGGTGCTCGGAGGGGACCGAGAGCCCCTTCTCCAGGAAGAGTGACCAGCCCAGGGCATGTTGAAGGGCAGGAGAGATGTGAAGTGGGGGAAGAAAGTAGTCGGGGTGGGACCGATCCAGGGGTTCTGAGGGCCCCGCGAGTACCATCCTGCCCCTGTGGAATGCTCAGTGTCCAGGGAGCTGGCTGAGCTGGGGACTCAGGATGGTTCCAGGAATCTGGAGGTGCTTCCTGTGGGTCAGGAGGCAGTACTCGGAGGCAGTGAATAGAGCCTCCTGCCTGTGTCTGTCATGGTTGCTGATTTGCTGCCCTCCTAGTCCTAGGTAAACTTGACTCCTGTTTATTTCCTTGGACGATCCTGGATTATAGGAGGGTCGAGCAGATACCATCCTAGAAGTCTACCCCTGTCCTTTCCTAGATGGGAGAGGCCCCAGGATGATTGACCTTGATGTTCGGGAGGCAGGAGCACTAACAAGGGGCTGGGAGAGAGGAAGGGGATGCAGGACTGAGCCAAAGAGGCAGGGTATAAGAGAGAGGCCTAAACCTCTGAAGAGTCAGACTTGCTTTCAGGACTCTTCCTGTAGCTGCTGCGGCTGGATTAAGGTGTCTGCCTGCCCTCTGCTCTGTGGCTGGATGTCTGTCTGTGCATCCTGAGCCACCCTGCGCCCATCCCTCTCTGCAGGCCTCTCTTGGGCTCATGCCCTTTATCAAGCCTATTCAGATGGAGAAGTGCCCATGTTCTTTGTGGAATGCCCTCACCACAATCGATTAAATGCCAAAGAATCACACTTCAATCGCATTCTGTGCTAATAAGTCTATGCCAGATTCTGTCAAGGTCTTGCAAAGGAAAACAAAGTGTGCAGATTCTATCCTTAAACAGACACTTTCTCCCCTGAGCTTGTGTGAGAGACCACTTTATTCCATCTTTGCAACTCCYTCAATGTCAGGCCCCACCAGGAACTTGAGAGCGGGAACTTCTCCCTGGGGGATGTAAAGTCCTACTAGGAAGACTTGTGGGCTATTACACTGTAACGAAGGCTGAGAACATGACCCTTTATTTTATTAAAAATAAAATGTGTGTACCCGAATGTCAGCTTCCCAGTATGTTACTGAAATAAGAATTCAGATCCTGGAGCACTTCAGGGCAGAAGGAGGCAGACCAAGGATTTCCATGATTGAAACTTGTGGATGGGAAAAGGGACACTAGAATTCAACAGCAATCTAACAAGTGTTGGAGGTCCCTGCTTGGTGGTGGCAGAAGAAGTGCTCAGAACAAAGGCCAAATGCATGGGCCATACCTTCGTTGGCTTGTCACTAGGACTTAGGGTCCTGATCTTGTCTTTCTACTGATTAAAAGCCCCTGCCAATCCGCAGTCAGTTGGCATCTGTCTTAGCAGAGGGCAACGTAGAGGCCACAGCAGGGAGACTCCGGTTAAGACCCTGGAGGAAAGAGCAGCCCAGGACCCATTCTGTAGGGCTCAGCCAATTGAGAGTTCGCTGGCCTGATTCTCCCAACTCCAGCTCTCCATCTCAGAATGACAACAGTGGTCACTGCAACATTTTATGGATGAAGACCCAGAGCTGGGGCATCTCAGATAAGACTGTCCAGCTGGCCAATGAGACAGCAGGGGAATCCTAAAAGTCCAGTCTGGTGCTATCCTCAGGAATCAAAAGACAATGCTGTGCTGTTAAGATCAGCTCTGCTGAAATTGAGACGCTCCTATTCAGATTCTTTTTCTGACTGGTCAGGCGCAGCTCTGGGAAACTGCGGAGGTGGCAGAGGTGGAAGATACGGTCTGGGACAGATGGCTTAACGGTTGAAGTTGCAGTTAACGGGCTGGGGACAGAATATATGATGCAAAGAAATCCCAAAGCTTAGATGGGGGATGAGTGGGTAAAGACAGATGAGGGTGGAATCAGGCAGGGTGGGGACAGGGTCTAGGCTTTGTGTTGTGTTTGTAGAGAAAGGCTTTCTGGAAGCTTCTCTCTGAGTCCTTTCATTGTCATCTGGTGGACACATGAGCTAACTAAGCCTCCCAGACTTTGGGGCTGGCAGGCTCGGGACTTGAGGGCCTCCGAGGACTCACAGAGGGAGGGTGTTGTGGTGCTAGAATTCTCCTCCCCCAGAAGCACCAGAAGGAAGTTCCATGGTCAACTTCTTGTTCTCTGAACAGATGGGGTGAGGTTGGCTCAGCCAGAGAAGCTTCTGCAGTGATAGTATGAGTAATATTCATTGGTATCTTCTGTCTTGTGCCTTATACCTTTCAAAGCATTTTCCCAAGTATCTTCTCCCTTAAGCCTTAATCATCTCATGCTGTATGGAGAAGACAGGTTTATACAGAGGAGGACACTGAATGCCAGAGAAATGACGTGTCTCTGTTGAAACAACTAGTCAGAGATAAGCCGGGACTTGAACCCAAGACTTCTGATACTAACTGGTTTTCTCAGCAGAGCCCTCTCCCTGATTCTGACCTTGAATATGTGGCTTCTTAGGTGTGTGATTGCATTTTTCCTTTCTATAATGAAACATCCAAAGCTTTTTTAGCTCACAGTTTTGGAGGTTCAAGGGTATGCAACAGCATTGGTGATTGGCATAACATGGTGGGAGGGTGTGCAAGATGGGGAGTTCACATAGCAGCCAGACAGGAAGCTGGGGAGAGACTGGGGTCCCATCAGAATTACATTAGTCACCCCTCTATTTTTGTGATGCTGGGTATTGAACCCAGGGCCTCACACATGAAGTGAGCACTCTTTCACTGAGCTATACTCCCAACCTCTTTCTAAAAAAATTATTTTGAGACAGGGTCTCACTAAGTTACCCAGGCTGCCCTTGAACTTGTGATCCTCTTGCATCAGCCTACCTGGGATGACAGGAATGTGTCACTATGCCTGGCTACATCAATCCTTTCTCAAGACAGTGTCCCCAGGGCCCTATGCCTCACCTCTTTAAGGTCCCACCCCTGATAACATCACCACACTGGGGACCAAGCCTCCAACACATGAGCCTTTGGTGTCATACTTAAACCACATTAAAAAAATGGCATTGGGCTTTCATCTTTATATCTATAATTCACCAGGACTTCTATGATCGTAGTCTCCATAGTATGCTGAAATTGGGCTGGTTTCCCTTCCCTGAGCTGTTGAACTCCAAGATTCTCATGTGACAAGTTTCTGAATTAGAGATTTGGTGACTTACCTTGTAATCCTACTTCTGGGCCACCTTCATGTTGAAGATATCAGTTTCAAAAAACAAAATAGACCAGCATCCTGAAATCCCTTGGCCACATGGAGCGGGAGTCCCTATCTCCACTGACCTGCGTCACACCATGTGTTAAGCAAGAGAATATTCTCTCCATCAATGTGGAAAAGAAATAGTTCTGTTATTAAGCATGCATTTAGCCAGACCAGGATGTGTCACCCGCAGTATGCTTATGCTAATGAGATTACAAAGACAAAAGAAGTCCCCTCATTCAGGTGGCCAAGCAGATGCTCACTGTGACATTCACGTTCTCATGCAGGAGGACTCGTCCTCAGGTGAGAGGATTTCATAGAATTGTTTGCTGCACATGCTTTCGTAGTTCACCCTAAATCATCCAGTCTCTGGGATGGTTTTCTGTGATAATTAACTGCCTATATATGAAAAGAAAAATAAGACATTTTGTATTAGACAAGCAGGTAATCAAAGAACCTTCCTGTTTAGACTTAGAAGAGATGGCTCCTAGTCCTTTGGAAAAAGTTCTGGGTTGTAATTCTGGCAAGAGGTTTATTTATCTCTTAAAAGTTCACATAAATATCAAAGAAACAGAATCATGTGGCTTGCACTTCCACATGATTACCTGCTTCAACACAGTCTGCCTTCTGTAACTGAATCTATACTTGCCTGTTTTGGTTCCTCTGATGATTGTATTGAATAAGACTTAAAAGTTAAAACAGTCCCCTTAGTAAGCACACTCCATGATGGGAGATCCCAGGGGTCTCAATTCCAGTCCTGAAGAGACGAGTAGCCCCTCAGGCATTTTGTGATGCATTTAGGGCTTGAGTATTGGGATGCAATATTAGTTACATTCCCCCCAAATTATTTATGAAGATGGTCTCGCCATCATTCTGCCAACCATCAGATCGTTGGACATGTGAGTCCAGACCACGTCCATCTTGGGAATACAATATGGCGTCAATAGGCACCATTTCTGGGAGCACAGAAAGAAAAAAACAGTGTTATAAATAATTTTTTTGTTTTCTTAATAAATTGTAAGTCTTAAAGTAATTGAAATCATTGCTTCTTGAATAAGTCATTCTAGGCTTTGGATAAATGTCCCCCAAAGCCCACTTTAAAGGCTTAGCCCTCAGCTTAGAGTGTTATTGGGAGGTCCTGAAACTTCTAAGAGATGGGTTCAACTGGGAGGAAGTTAGGTCGCTGGGGATATCGGGAGACCCTCTATTCCTTGGATTTTCATATCTCTGACCAAAACACCTGACACAAAGACCTTGGAGGAGGAAAGATTTATTTTGGCTCACAGTTTCAGAGATTTCAGCCCACCGTACGGTTTCCATTGCTCTGGTCTGCGGTAAGCCCGGACATTATGGGGGAAGGGCAYGGCAGAGGACAGCTGCTCACCTCATGACAGTCAGGATGCAGAGAGAGAGAGGAAGCGACCAGGAAGAAGATAAACCCTTCTAGATCATGCCCCCAGTCATCTACTTCCTCCAGTGAGGTCCTGCCTTCTAGGAGTTCATTCAGTTATCATCATTGAGGGACATGATGCAATCACTTCCCCAAAGCCACACCTCTGAACACATGAAATTTGGGGGGGGGGGCATTTCAGGTCCAAATCACAACAGACTCCTACACCTTCCTCTGTTTCACTTCCTGGCCTCCATGAGGGGAGAAGTTTTGCCTCACTACATGCCCTGCACTGATTGTCTTGCTTTACCCCAGGCCCGAAAGCAAGGAGCCAACCACCTATGAACAGAAACCTCTGAAACTGTGAGCCAAAATAAACATTAAAAAAAAAAAAAAAACAGAAAAAAGCTTGCCATTTCTGCCTTC